GCCCGTACAAAAATTATTACAGGATAGGATCTGAACACTGTACTGAAGAGGATTTCTGGTGGGTTGACAAACAGTAGGTGCCTGTAGGTGCAAGACAGAAATGGCATCTTGCAGATTTGACACAATCTTGCTATAAAATCAGAGATATTTGCTGGGAAGTTCAAATTTGCTTTGGTTCATTGATTGCTTATTGGCTCCTTGTTACCTGTTTTAATCTTATTTGAACACTCTTTGGTTCCTGACAAGGCTCGACATTGAGGAGACCTCCCAACTTCCCTTTCAAAGGCTGTGTCTCAGATTTTTTTGTTTGTTTTGCATAATGATTCATTAAATCATAAGAACCAGAAGGATTGCTGTGAAAGGCGGCATGTCCTGCTCTCCTTTCTGGTTCGGCACAGGAAGGGGAGAGTGAGTGGGGCAGCGTCTGGCCGGGTCACAGATGCTGGGGGAGGCGATGGGATGGAAGCCCTAAACCTCACTAGTCAAGGCGCAGAGCTGGTTCAGTCCCTAATGAGGTTTACTAAGAACAGCAACTGTGTGGGGCCTTTGACAGCCTTGGCAAGGACCAAGGGTATTAACTCAGGGCAAGGATGGAAATAGAAATAAAGTCTTATTTTTAGCACCGGTCTCTTCAGGGCGTATTGGAAACCTGATGGGCGGCGGGAAGTGCCACCCTGCTTGGTGCAAGGGAGGCACCACCGTACCTGCGCTGTTGGCAGGTGAAATTGGGAGAGTCTGCTTTATCTGGCACGCTGCCTCCTGCAGCAGCTGGTTCCTGGTGCTGCCGTTGGTTTGGTTTATCCATGATACGCTTTGCCAGACCTGCAGTGCTAGATGGTCGTGAGGGTGCTGAAGGAAAACTGCTTCCCAAATTGGCTGTTTGGTGTTCCAAATACCCTATTTTATTATGCATGAAGGAAAATATTATTGTCCACCTGTACTTTTATTAATTTTAGCTAAAGTATGTAAAGGTAGACTACTGTAAAATAAGCACACACATGCTGATCACAAATTATAGTTGTGAACGCCTGTGTTGACTGGTGTGGGAGGGGAAGCTCAGAATAGAAATGAGATTTCATTTGCCTCTGAGAGAAATTTTCCTCTCCAGGAAGTTTGCTGAATATGCCCATGAAGGCATCCCCCTGTAATACAGCACATGACACAGGTTGTAGTGCAATGGATGTTACCTGGTTTCCCATTCTGGGGTATCCTCATTAATTACAGAAGTATTAGGTTTATTTTGAAGAGATATTTGGATTTTGTGGAAGATTCTTTTCAGTGAAGCTTTGCTGCGTAGCAGACTGCTACATTGATTTTGGAAAACTTGTCTAACAACTTACAATAACTTGTGTCAAAGAATATTTAAATGTATTTAAAATTGAGATTTTTTGTTTTAATCCCATTAAAGAAAAAGAAAATCTGTATTTTTGTAAAGGTTGCAGAGTACAACAGTACGTAATTAGTTTTCTCTTACAGTAGTAGGGTGTTGATTTGGAAAGCTAAAGATTTTTATCATAAATTTACCATAAAATTGACAAGGGCTGTAAAACCTGCTTGTTGACCTGAGACTTGGTGAAGTTGAGCTCACACCTCTGGGGATGCGACTAATGTGGTGGCTGCTCCCCTTTTAATAATCTTTTGTTCAAATCCCCAGTTTGCTTTTAATTCTTATTTTCTGTTAGTGAAATCTGTGCAACATGACGGTGCACTCCTGGTGCCTCTAAATCTGCTGCTTTCCAATTTGCAAGCACGTTGTTCCTATGCAAATAATGAAAGGCGTTGAATATAAATATTTTAACTGACATAAAAAAATGACATATAAACTCATTTGAGTATTTCTGGACCTTCCTCGCTTCTGTTGCCCTTCGCAAGCTGTACTGTGCCTGTAACCCACTTTCCTGTCCTCTAGAACCTCGGTAGTTTTTTGCAACCTTAATTAATTAAGATGAGCTGACTAATTGCTCTGCAGATATGACACAATTTTTTTTAAATGGGTGCCTTCTAATTGTGAACCTTATTCAAGTGTTTATTTTTTAAACGAATACATACATACACAATCCCGTGCATCCATTATGACTGGTTTGTTTGGCAAAATTTCTAATAATAAAATACTTCCACAGGTAAAATGTATACTGCACTTGTTTAAATTGCATCTGGCTTCTTACTGCGACTTTGTGACAGAAATTTGGATGTGTCAACTTTGAGTGTTGAGGCAAAATTCCAGTGTTGCCCTTCCCTAAGCCTGGTGTGGGGTGAGTTCATTCTGCCGGGCTGGCTCCCCGGCTGGGTCTGCCTGCACACCTCCTGGCTTTCTCCCTGGCTGATGGGGACTGAGGAGAAGATGCTACTGGGTTTCTGTACTAGGCTTGACTTTAAATGGTAGTTGAAGAACGTTATGGTCTTTCAGCCTTGGTGAGCTACAGAGGTGTCATTGGCTAGAAATGCCCCGGCTATATATTTTTGTGCTCAGAAAAGCCTGCAATAGGCCTTTTTTCTTACACTGTTTTCACATCTAATTGTCTTGCTAGTACATAATTTCGTTGTTAGCTGGTTTGTGAATTTTTGGGCTAGATTCGCATCCACATGATGTGCAGCAGTGTACAAAATCAGCTTTTCGACTCATTTGTGGTCCACATGGTGAAGTTAGAGCCAGACTCCTCTGCTATTCTCTTTGCCAGTTGGTAACCTCACCCTGTCGCGGCGTAGCTTGTTCGAAAAGAGCCTCAGCGATGTATGAGATGGGACTGAGGAAGACTTTTGCTCGGTGCTGCACTGAAAAATTAATTCAAGACATGGCAACAGCTGCGGGTGACAATTTAGAGTTGTTGAATAAGTATTGTAATCGGCATTTATCACTGCCATCACATGGGATTAAATACTTTGAGGTGATTGTTCTTGGGCACAGCCTTTGGGAGGGTTATTACCATGACACAACTAGTTGTCATGGCAATTCGTGGAGGAGAGGGAGACTCTTCCTTCCTCCTTTGCATTCTGCACTACTCTATTAAAGGCAAGCCTGACATCATTGGCAAAGCTGTCTTTTTTTTTTTTTTTTTTTAAGTGTAACACCAAATTCTACTATTTGCTCTTCACGTTATGGATGAAATCTCAGCATGCTATATGTTATTTTTGTTGATTGCCTTTTCTGTTTAAAACAGGCATCGACTCCTGCTTTCTTATGTTGGGTTGGTTGATAGCATGGTGTGCTCTCTGGCTTCCCCCAAACTTGGGCTTTTCTGTAAGAACCAAGTTGGTCTCCCGGTATCTGTCAGCCAAGGGGAGAACAGGGTGTCACAGCAGTGTTCAGGGCTGGGCAGGAAAATGGGGTAATGCTGTCTTATGGGTTGCCCTGACGCTTAACCTTCACACCCGAAAGGGGGATTAATTAAAGTGGAAGTTGATACCAAAATAAAGAAAATGCATGTGAAGTAATTGTGCTCACCTTGGTGAAACTCGAATAAAGTAAATGGGTCTCTGCACAAATGCTTAAATCACTATTTTGGAGTTTAATTTATAATTAAAACTTACTTTTGAAGACCCAATTTTAGAAGTACATTGTAAGCATTTTGTAATGTTTTACTTTCTGCAGCTAATCCCCTTTGTTTCAGATTGTGAAATAATGAAAGGTTTTATAAACCTTTCCCTGCCTGGGCCTTGTTGGAATATGATTCTACCAGTGCTAATGGACTATTACATATATGTGTTCAGCCTGTAAATACACGTGTGGTAGCAAGGAGGTTTTATTTAGTGTAAGTCAGACTCATAACTTTGCTAAGTACTGTTTTTCTTCTTAGAGAAGTTATTTAATAAGTTTAATTTTTTTAACTATAGTCCTTTGCTACACATTTTAAAACACAAGGGTTTGTAACTATTGTTTTTATAAAGAAAAGCAGTGCCAGGTGTGATGTCTCATTCAACAAGGTTTTTCTTCTCACAAGTTGAGCAGTCCCAAGTTAGTTATTTCATAAAAGGATCTGCAACTTCAAATAGAATTTTATGTATTTCTTTTAGGTATTTATTTCATGAGTTTTGGTTGTAGAGCTTTTCTTAATATGGAATAATTCTTTCTCACAGTTGCTGCAGCCCAAGCCATAGCAGAAGAAAGAAGAAGCCAAAGTGGTGTTAGCCCTATTGCAGTCCAGACCTCAATAAATATAAAGACAGCAACTAAACCAGGTATAATTATTGGTCATTGTTCTTAATGAAGTACTGGGCTCACAAGGGAGAGGTAGTAGGGAATGAATAAAACCCCTTTAAAAAAAGAACTTTTTTGCACTTTCTTCAGGAGGCATTGTAGCATAAAGCAACTGGTAGATGGTCCTTGAAGGTCTGGCTTTGATGACAACCTTTTGGTCTTGTCTTGCTCAGAGTTCAGTTGGTGAAGCTGCCTATCTTTTCAGTGGGGCAGAACAGCAAAGATAAATGAGTTTTGTGTGCTGTGGTCAGGCTACTGGTTCACTTCTGACTGAAGTTCAATTTTTATACCTGCAAAGACTTAAGCAATCTTGGTTCTGCTTGCCCTGCACATTAGCTATCCTGCAGTGCTTGGAATTTGTCACGATGGGTGAACTATCTGTTCTCAGAATGAGTTTTCATAGATTCCTGTAATACTTGATCGTAAGACTTAGTATGTACAAGAATGAGGGTCAGAGCTGAATTTGGAATAAGTGTATATGCTCACATGTCTGACTTCTGCTCAGGCTTTCCTTTGACTGTGCACACTGGGCCTTGAACCTTCTGACTGCTTTCTGCTGCACCTATTAAAAATAGTGGGTCGGTTGTTATGAGGGAGTGAAAACTGGAAAGAGGAGGGTATTGAATTTCCTGTGAATTTTTCAGATGATCTCTTTAATATCTATCCGGAGTGTGCAGTGCTTTGGTGGTATGTGTGTCTCAGGAAGTTCCCTAATCCTTTTGATAGTAAAGACTTAAAACTTCTTTATTTAAATTTCAGTGTTCAAAATAACTGACAATTAGGTGTCCAATTTTTCTTTCGACAGTGATAGATGGTTCCACTCTAAGAACAGAAGAAAGACAAAGACTGGCCAGGGAGCGTAGAGAAGAGCGGGAAAAGCAACATGGTATTTTCATGTTTCATTTAAAATATAATTTCCTAAAATGTTTATGATAAAGGAATAACTTACCCTCTTTCTCCTTGTTCAGACACTTTTTTTTTTTCAGCTTGCTGGGAACAAGAGGCAGGGTCTGCTCTTGATCTTGCTTCAGTGACCATGTGTAAACCCAAATGGAGGCGCGTTAGATTTGAGAGGAAACCATTCCAGAGATTTTTACCTTCTTGTTGTATGTCACTTCTAACCTTCCATTTCTTAGTGACCATCAAGCAAACTTAGCCAATTTCTTATTGAAAGCCTTGACAAAAAATACTTCTGATATGATAACTTTTAGCTTAGAACTGCTTCCTGTAACCCTGAAGGCTGAGGTTTGGGAAACACTGAGTCTGAGAAAACCAAAAAGGGTTTAGCCAGTTGAATGGCTTGATTGCCTTGAACACTGCTCCCCTTGTGTCCGAGCACACTGAAATGACTCCTGGATTGAAGTAGCAGCAGTATATGTTTTATCTTAGCAAGGAATCTGAGACCTAGAAAAGAGCGTAAAGCTCATGCCCAGCTTTATGCCGTTTGTGACGTGAATCAGTGCATGTGTGTGTGGCAGGAGATGAAAGGGTCGCAGTCTGCCCTGCAGCCCTGGTTCTCGGCCTCCCAGCCTGTGAGGGGGGGTGTCTTGCTGGCCTGTAGGTTTGTTTCTTAACATGAAAGGAAAGACACAGTGACAGGAATGACTGTGTTATCCGAACATGGAGAGAGGGTAGGCCACGGGCGCATATAAATTGAGAAGTATTTCTGGGGCCTTATGTAGGTACTGCCTGTGCATTGCTGGTGTAATTGTCCGGTCTCTTGGTTCATTTTGTCTGTCTAGCCACAGAAAGTATTTCCACTGTGCATTCAACCACTAGCATTTTGTCACAGGACTTGAAGCTTCTTGTTGAATTGCGTGCAGCTGCCCTAGATGGAGGCTGCGGAGAACAGTGACACAACTATTTTGAAGTCGGACGCAGTAACTGTGGGGTTTTCCTGTCTTGTCACTCAGGGTTTTAAATCTTCATTATATCTTGTTCTAAAAACATGAAAATCGCAACACGGAGAATTCTACTTTTTGATACTCAACTTGCTACTGACTTACAAAGACATTACTATTATGACAGCAAGAAAAGTAATATGCTTAACGTAGGGTATGTGCATATCCTGACATTCCTGTCTAGACAGTGAAGTCTAATGGCAGGAAAGGTTCTAATTCCTGCCCAGCCTGGGGACAGAATTGGACACCTCCGTTGTCCTGTGCAGTGTCATTCAGCACTGCAAGCCAATCTTTCTGTATGTTTTAGCTTTAAGTGGTGACAGTTTTGCTTGGTCATCTCTTGCCTGTCAGTTGTGTTGTAATACCAATGAACAGTTAAGTTTGATGTTAATTTTTTCTTAAAAATTTACAGCTGCCAAAGAGACGCAAATCCTTGAAAAGGAGAGAAAAGCAAAACTCCAGTATGAAAAACAGTTAGAAGAAAGGCAGAGAAAGCTAAAGGAACAGAAGCAGAAAGAGGAACAACGGAGAGCAGCAGTAGAAGAAAAGAGAAAACAAAAGATAGAGGAGGAAAAGGTACTACGTGCCAAAGTTCTGTAGTTTTAAAGAAACTCCTACATTACTGTGCTCTGAAGTGGTGTGAAACAAAGTTACAGAAACAATGAATGTGTTGGAACATAAAAAGAGTTTCCACATCTGTACAGTGAGCTATGTAGACACGTCCTCCTTCCCCAGTCCAGGCCTAGCTGTAATTGCCCCCAAGGCTCTCGGCTCTTCAGGAGCTGTGGTTACTGTTTGGCCACTGGTTATTTTTCACATGAGCAAAAACCCCACCCCCTATTCCTAGACTTCTAGATTCCTTTATGTGCACTTTGTAAATTCTGTTTGTAAATCAGTGTGGGTGACAGGTCTTAGACTTCCCTTTATTCTGGGTCTTGCTTCCCAGGAAGCTCCACTGTGGACTAAGAGACTGACATTCTTTCAGTTCTTCTAAATTACAGTTTGTTACTGTCTGTTCCACAGTTGATAATGTTATCTGTGTAGGTACCGTTTGCTGCTTTGGGCTGTGTATTGACTGTTCCTGCCTGTGCTTAGACTGCATATGGAGCAGCAGAGCAGGATTTGAGTTGCAGAGCTCATTGCAAGATTGATAGAAGCTGGAAGTAGAAATGAATCTATGAAGTTATGCCATCCCCATTGAAGAGTAGGTCGGCTGGTGCGTATTAAATGCGATGCAAGTTCTGATCAGCAGGAAAAGCGTGACATGCACATGTGTTTTCATAAGCTAGCTGTGAGAACTTGCTGTGGGTCATTGCTGAAGAGCCTGTAAGCTTGGCTGGCTGTTTCCTTGGAGTCCTGCCAGCCTTACGTTGTTCTAGCAGTATGTCTTTTTTTACCCTTTTTGACTGGCAGTATTCTGCACTGGTGTTTGGTTATCTGCAATCAGCTTCTGGGTGTGTTAGATTGATATTCTGTTTGAACTTCATGGAATAGCTTACATTGCTGAAGAACAAACAGAAATGTTCGGGTGGGCCTTGCCTGCAGTCCAGTCTAGTATCATCTCTTTAAGCAACTACTTTATGCAAAAAGCATCCCTTACGCTTCAAGAGGTGTTGCCCCTAAGCCTATGGTACATCTGTTCATGTAATTTTGAAGAAGGTGGATATGTTTTAAGTGGCCACTGGAGTGGATAATCATGGAAGACAAGAACTAGCCAACGCATGTTTGATTGGTGTTACCCTTGCCTTTTACGTGGGTCCTGGAGGAAGATTACGTTGTGCACAGTGAGTTACGCACGAAGAATACAGCAGCTGGGAAAATAGTGTGCACTTGACCTGTAAACCTTGCTTTCAACCAGAAAGTGAAAACAGATCTTGACTTCTGCACTCTGATGTTAGAAAACGATCACTTTTAAAGAAGCTAAGCTATCTTAGGGCAGTATTTGCCAGCAAGATACCATCTACACATGTACATTTAGTAGATAGAAGTGCGTAAGTAGATCAAAAAATGCATAGTCTCCAACATTCTTGTTTGGTCTTCCAGCCAAGTCTCATTTAGTTAATCAACTTCTGTAGAAGCAGCAGCACAATAGCAAATACTGTGGAAAAAGAAGTGGTTCGCTGCCTAAGAGACCCTTGAACCCATAGCTTTGGTCGAGATACCTGTCTTCTCACAGTTACCCAGTTATTCTGTGCAGCCGTGTGACCTACTGTGCCGGTGTCTTGAGCTGCGAACTGATTTTCTGTTGTTTGTACTGTGAAGCCTGTGTCTCCAACGGTGACTTTGAAGAATTACCGCACTGCAGATACCTCCATGGAAATACTATCTGCAGGTTACATAATGTCTGGGTACTTTGGCACCTTAGGTAAATTCTAGTGCAGGTTTCTTTTAACAGAGGGGAATCTAAGCTTTATATTTCAAACAAAAACTTCTAGTTCTATCTTTTGTCAGTGAATGGAATCCTTCCTCCCTTCCTTCCAGGTTTGCTTTCTCTTTTATACACTCTGACTTTCTTAGTTTGTGTTGTGAGATGGTGTTGAAAGAAGGTGAAAGTCTTGTGTCCTCAAGAGGGAGAAATGTTTGGATAATGAGTCCCCTTGGCATCTTACTGCAGTGTATCAGCAGTAAATACTGCTTTGAAAGATCACCTGGGACATGACTGTTCCAGAAGAGAAATCTGTTGTTGACACTTGTATGGAAACCTGGCTGATTATGGAGAAGGAACAGTCTAGTGTGGTTACAGTTCATCTTTGTGCACAAGAGCTGACGTTCCCCCCTTAGCAGTTACTAGTCCTGGAGGCGGAAGAACAAGCTTCTTTCAGTCCTCCTTATCCTGTCAGCAGTTCAGATCTGGAGTTGGTTGTCTTGGCCTTCATGTTTTGCTATTTCTGGTTTCATCGTTACCTCTGTTAATGCCAGTGACTGTTAAGACTTGGGTCAGTGTTTGTACAGTTCTCTGAAAATATGAATGACTTTATACTTGGTATTTTATAATGGAGAATTTTTAGCACCTTTTAGAAACAACTTCAGCATATAAATAGCTTAAAGGGTAAGCAATTATTTTTGCCCAGTTTGGGATTCATCCCTATTTAGAAAATAAGTAGTGCTGTTTACTGAATAGGAAATCTGTTTGGTGGCTATTTTAAGTAAAGAGTAGAATAGATAATCTGTGCTTTAGCTCAACCTAATCATGTTCGCAGTGTTTTAAAACCATTAATTGCCCTTAACGTTGTTTGCTTGGTAGTTTTTGTAACAAAATCTTGTTACCAGGCAGTACAGGTAAAGCAGTTTTTAAATCACACTGGGGTGGGGGGCAATCTGTGTTTTATCTTCTGGCATAGCAGTGGTTTATAGTTACACAGCTTCATAGAGGTGTTGTGTGATGATAGGAGCGATATGAAGCAGTTATGCATCGTACCTTGGAACGGAATCAGCGACTGGAAACACGGCAGAAGAGATGGTCATGGGGAGGTTCTGTAACTCCAGATGCAGAGAGCAAAACAGGTAAGTCACACCTTTTCTAGCATGGCTAAAATCACAGAATAGTATGTGCGAAAACTGGCAGGTGCAGCCCTGTTCACAAGGACCTGGGCATCCTTTCCTGTCTTGGATCTTACAGCAGGATCTACTCTTGGGGAAAGAATCATATCTGTACTTGCCCTGAAATGCTGCTCAGACAGCTATTTTTGACTTTGGGAAGAGCTAGAGAGAAGCCGCATGGGAAGCACAGTGCCTGGCAGCATTGCACTGCCAGCCCCCAGCCATCAGGGAAGAGGAGTTGTAATGTGTGATGGGGAAATAATTCCAAGTCCTTCCGCTGCAGTACAGTTAATGGTGTGCTGACTGGTGATAAGCAGAAGAAAAAAACCCCACAGTTGTACTGTAATGTTCCATCTCAAGTGTTGTAAACGCACCCTTAGAGTTACAGAATACTGGTTATTTGAAGGATGGGTAATGGGTAAAGAGATGGAGTGGGTGTCTGAGCTTCTCAGAGAGTTGGTTCTATTCTGGATTAGGTGATGCATTTTAACACTTTTTTGAGCTCAGATTGTTTTACTATTTCACAAAATTAACTGCTTCTGCTTGTAAACATTCTGAAACCAGACCAACAAATCCAGATTGCAGTGGAAGGGATCCTTTCGCTTCCTAACTGAAAGAAGCTGCCAATAAGGAACTTGATGTTAAGTTACTGTCCAGGAATAAAATAAGACAAAATTGCTTCAAATCAGCCCATCTCCTGAATTGGTGGAATTATACTGAGTGTGTTTTAGTAGTGTCTTCTCTGTCATCTTGAGTGTTGACTTTTAAGTCTTTATTTATAACGTGTTTGAAAGTGCTTTGATCTAAATTATTGTGATACCCAGCTTCCCCATTTTTGGTGACTTGCATTGTTTGCCATTTGACCTTGTGACTTCGCTTACAAACCTTCTTCTTCTACAGAACAACAGACAGCAGCTGAAGGTGGAACTGGTGGTATTGATTTCTAAAATGTTCTTTTTCTGTTTTTTTACACTCGCTACTAACCTTTTAAACGAGTTCTTGTTTCGCTGAAACTAAGGAAAACCATCTTCTTAGAGATCTTTTCCTGGATCTTGGCCAGCTGTGCGACAAATGTGCTCCCTAAGTAGAAAGCAGTCCCCTATGTTTTTAACTGTCCCTCCCAGCTGATTAAACTGCAGATTAAGTCATGGCATCCTGAGGGAATTTTTGGGGAAAGGATATGTGCATTTGTGTTTAAGATGACTGGATTACAACTTGGGAGAGGAGGAGATAAATTCTTAGTGGTGTGTATTTGGATATAAATCAGTTTGGTAGTCTAAGCTTTTGTTTTTTTTAAGGGCAGTTTCAAACTCTTTCATTGTTTCCTAATTTGCACAAAGTACATGGTAGGGCTTGGTTTGTTTTCTTTTTGCTTTGTTTTACCAGCAATTGAAGTAACTTTTGCAAAATCAAATTACGTTTTGCTGAAACTTTGTGAAAGGGAATGGGTCCTTTGTGCAGTTTGATACTTTTTTCCGTGAAGGGTTTTGCAAAATCAGACCTGTCCAATTATGTGAACACAATTCTATCTATAAAACTTGTTTTCACTGAATTTCAGGCACTTGCCAGTGCACAGAACTGAGCCGTTCAGAGAATTCTTTGGATCACTGATACGTTTGCCAAGGCTTTGTGTTTAATAAGCAGAATTATTTCTTGTAGGTAGTTTAAGATGATCGCTCTCAGCTGAGACCCAGCTAAATCTGAATCCTGTATATCTGTGCATGCTCACAGCATTACTAATTCAGTACAGCTGTCTCGTAATGCTGACAATATGAGACTTGAAAATGCAATGAAAGTCCGACTGAGTATGATTTAACTACTGTGGCTTGTTCTGGCAGCGCAGCAGAAGCATGTGTGTTTTATTTAACTTCTCTTTTCCCCTTCTCTGCACAGCATGAATCCCTAATTTTCTTCAAAATTAGCCAGTTTGACTGGATTGGTTTACCTGTTTAACATGTGTTCCTTGGATACATATATAAATCCAATTACTGTATTCCACATTACCAAATGCCATTTAACCTTGAAACTAGGAAATCACATTTGCCTTACGTCTTTAGGAAAGCACTATTCATTTTTTCTCCCCCATTCCTTTCTACCTTATCTAATTTTAAAGCTAAACTTTACAACGAACGTAAAATAATGTCCTTTGCGCTCTCCTAATTTATGTGAGGAAATGAGTCGTCTCGGTCCTTTTGATCATGGAGGAAGATCGTCAGTGCTGCTGAAGCACTTTGAAAATAAATTGTCTTCCAACAAACGTGCTCCTGATATAAAAAGAGGCACTTAAGCTGTACCTTATACATCATCAAGTGCCAACAGGAGGAGCAGAGATACTTTGCTACAGTAGATCAATTTGGATAACTTGGCACCAATTCTGAAAAAAATTGACTGTGGAGATAAACAGATAATGCAGTGGTTGAGAAAGACACTTGTACATCCACAGTGGTTTAGATTTGTGTTTGATTTTACGTTGGGGTTTCAAGTGCACCGCTCTCTTACCTGGACTGGATAATGTGGAATCATGATTCAATTCACGCTTCTCGTATTTATTCCCATTTCAGGATCATTCTTAGCTTTTCATCTTTATGGGAGCTCCTTACTTAATTTTTATTTAAATTCTACCCAGACCACGTAGGAGGCCCAACGTCCGGCTTCCTAAAAAAATCCTTATTTGGTCCTTGTCCCCTTATATTTGCATAATTACTGGAAAGACAGCAATAACATTTGGTTTTAATCTGAAAAATGACTCCACATGAGCTCTGCTACATTCTGCCCCCATGGCTGAATAGTACGCCTCTCTAACAGCACGTCCAGAGTAGGTTTCAATGCAATATTATTTTTCCACCATCAGATTCCATGGCAGATTTGGGATTAAAGCTCCATTTCTTAAATGAAAACCATTCAGGGAATAGATTTCAAATATTCTTTACATTATTTTAGGACTAAAGGCTTTCTGGCCTATTGTATTGCTGTGCAAAAAATACAGAATCGGACATGTTCTTCCCTGAACTGGTTGTGTCAACAGTAATATTTAGGATCATGGGTAAAGCAGCATTTGTGGGTGATAGAAGTAGTGTGCTCTGGAGGGTAAGCTCCATGTACCCGAACAGGCAATCAGCCGTTCTGTACTGTTCATGCACAGAATGTGATTCACTGAGACTGCACCAAACACCCTGCTGATGGCCTGAAATTTAAAAATTGATAAAAGCCCGGAGTCACATGTTACATTAATGACATTGCTGTCCGTGCTGGGATGAAACGCGCAGGGTGTGGGTCTGCCAGGAGAAATGGCAGGGCTGTGTAATAAAGCGCTTTTGATGACAGTCTTTGTAAATGAGGGAGGTCTAACAATGACTGCTGAGCAAAACTGGAAGTTCAGGTGCATCTGTAGGGTAGACGTGTTCTATTAGAATAGAAATTGGGCTGCTAGAGTCTCTCCTTTCTAAATAAAGAGCTTCCTTGTCCTAGTAGAAATTTAGGAGGAACTAAGAGACAGATAATCTTACTTTATTTAGCCTAATTTTATCCAGCCTCAGATAGGCAGTGCGCCAGCACCCTCTCTCAGCTAAACTCAGAAGCTAGGTCGAGAGCTGCTCTGATGATGATTTTTTTTTAAGGTACCGTGTTTCCCGCTGTTCACCCAATGGCAGGCCTCGCTGTGTGGCACTCTTACGCTTTATTTGGCTTCACTTTGTTTTCCCCCTTCTCTTAGAAACAAGACAGACGTTTGGTATTGTGTATGTCTCTTCCATTTAGAATCCCTTGATGTCAGTAGTTCAACTTTAACTACTTCAACTTAACGTTTTCTGGAGAAAGAAAACTGAAATATCTATATGTGCCAATTAGACTTTTTTCAGTCAAGGCATAAGCTGGGATATTACCTGATGCCCTCACCGCTGCTCTCCATCCCGCTGTAAAACAGAAACTGATACTGGTTTTTGTCTGAACAGGCATACGCAGACTGTATTTTTTCTGTTGAATGGGTCTCAGTAGGTGACAGAACGACTGTCAGCTTTCGTGCAGGTGCGAATTTGAACCAGGAGGCATTTGCATGAAGCATCTCGGGGGTGTGCCACGAAGGCCGTGAGCGCAGGCAGGAGGCAGGCTCTTTCTAAGGGCAGACACTAGAGGGTAGTCTTTCCCTTTGGAAACATCCAAACGCTTGAATTACGAGTTTTCCTGATTTTTGTGTATAAAACGTCTCAAGGCTGTTTTAGTTATCCCAGTACTCAGGCTTCATTCATAAAATGCCTTTCTTTTTTCCCCTCTTTTGTTGTTGTGTTGGGAAAGTGTCCACTAAGCTCAGACCTTCACTTCTTAACTAGACTGAATAGATCCCATTCTCTCCCTCTTATCCCATGGGGACTTTGCTCTTATTCACTGTGCCAAGAGCTTGCCCCTTTGGTAGCTTCCGCTCCAAAATCTGGTTTTCACTTGACACGATTTTGCCGGAGGCCCCTAGCTCAGAAAGTCTGAGTTGAGCACGTGCCAGAAGGACGATGCAGAGTCAGGGCTGGCCATAGGAATCCTTATGTCCAGGCTTTTGCTGTGAGGAGCTGCCCTAGCATGCTGGCCAAAGGGAAAAGATGCTGCCTCTGTGGTGAGTGGTGCTGCTTTTTCTTTGGGTACATCTGCACTAATGAGTTCATGTTAATCATCTTTGCTGTCCAGTATGCCAGCAAAATTGATTGCTTGTGTTTGATGTACAGAATCTCTTGTGTTTATTATGCTAGTCTGTACTACTTTGTGTGCCTTACTGTTTTTTGTTTATTGGGTTTCCATAGCAACAGGTACATGCTTTTCCAGGGCTTACACCCTCTGGAGTAGTGTTCATCCTGAAAGTATGTTATTTGAAATTAAAAAGGAGGTGTTCATCTGGCTTGTGTTAAACTTGAAATTTTGCCATGTGAGATCCGATTTTTATGTGTCTATACACATACCAAAAAATAATGCTTCTTGTGGCACTTTTTTTCAGAGAAGTTAGAAAATTGGTAGGGAATGGGAGTAGTGGAGTTTCTTTTCTTTCTTATAAAAGTGGAAATTTCTAAAATAGTCAGAGCCACCCTGGGAAAGTAATTGGAAACAGCAATGCTTTCTCACCTTCCCTCTAGACGTGCTTTTATCCCTCCAAGAGCATTTGTTTTGCTTTTGTTAACTAGTGATTGAAAAACTGTTTTGACATACCTATGTGGAAAGCACAAAGAAAGAAATTATTGTCATTCAGGTTTTGTTGTCACTTTCTCTGTCTTGCCAGTGGTGGTAACGCACAACCTCAGCAGCTTTTGTCTTTACATGTTAGGAGCACAGGGTTTAAAAATCACCTGTTTGCATACATACGCCTAAAATCTTGGCATCGATCCACTAAAACTAAAAGCCTTTTCTGGGCACATTACAACTGGCGCTAATTGTGTCAAGGCTGTCCAGAGGGGAAAAACAAAACCTCTGTTTCTCATTAAGCAAACCTGGAGACAGCTTTCAGGATGTAATGCTTCCAGAGTTAGCTCACAGCAGCGTGCGAGAGGTTCTTCCTCAGGTATGAAGATGCATTCTAAAGTCAGCGCTTCTTTACACAGCCAGCAAGCGGTCCACCTCCACAGCAAACCTCAAACAGACAGAAGCTGTCATGAATAAACGTCTGTCGTCATCCGCGGCGCTTCTAAACGCTTCTGATCGAAGTAAGTGTTGGTGTGTCGGCTGGTAGCAGGTGTTAACTGCTACTCAGGGAGGAGCTGGGAGGTGCAGTGATGCTCGTCTTCCTCCTCCCTTGCTGTGTAACTCACTTCATGTCTTCATCTCAAATGCATTTCATGCAATTTGTTAATCCAGCTTGACTGTTCAGGGTTTTGACCCAGTTGATGTGAGCTCTGTTAGAGGAGAAGAGTAACGGTAAAAAACGCTGGGGTTTTATTTTTTATTTCTATAATTGTTTTACTAAAGTCGAATCTTGGTGAATGATTGATTCACAAATCGTTTCACATCATCTTTACGGGTTTGCATGCCTTAAATCACACCCTGAAATTTCAGCAAAAAGAAATAGTACAAGAATAGCGTGCCTTGTTCTGTTAGACAGCTTCAGTCATTTGATTGCCTGTGGGGTGGAAAAAAACAACTTGGTTTTTGACATCTTTCTGTTGTGCCAGTCGTGTACTCTGAAGACACACGCTTTCTTTTTAATATTAGAATTCTGCTTTAACCAAATAAAGACAGATGCATGAGAAACCCTAACACCCATAGGAGTTTTTTGCGCAGGAAGAGATTGTTTTGACCTGGAGTTTCTAGCATGATAGAGCTATAGCATGCAGCTCTGACCACTGTTGCCTAGCCCAATGAATTAGTATAATCTTCATACTGATACTCAAATGATGCATTTCTTAAACTATTAGTGCATACCACTGCTTGCAAGCACTCTGGGTTACTTACCATGCCAACGACTACCAAGGAATATAAATGTCCTGGAAGGCAACTATTCATTTTTTTAAGGGTTTCTGAGACCGTTTGCACTCTAGAGATCGTTTGGCAATCTCTGTGGCTTCCAGTCTCATTTTGAATTGCAGCTTTAGGGTGGACGAAGCTCCTGACTGCAGCATGTCATGTTTAAAATGTGCAACACACAACTTTGCCTCTCTCTGGCAAACCTGTACATGTGAGCCTCCCCTCTGCCCCATCCTGATACATTCAGTAAATCGTTGCAATCTGCCTTCTCCAAATCAAAAAAAAAAAAAAAAAAAGATTCCTTGTGGGGAATCTTCCCAGAGTTTCATTGGACCCTGTCTGTATCCTAAATACTTTTTTTTCCAAAATGCTGAAAAGCATTAAGCTAAGAGCAGCTTAATACAAAACCAAGTTCAGCCAGGTCTGTGCTGCAGTTTCCTGTCAATCTGCAACCTATGATCAAATGAGCTGTGCTGGAAGAATCCCTAACACAGCTAGCAGTGATTTTGCTGGTTCACGTTGGACGGTGATGCAGCAGAAAAGATGGTACTCACACGCTGTATGTCTGGTAGGGGAATTGGTGAATTTAGCTGTACTGGCGTAGCTGCAAGGGCTCTGAGTCACTGGAGACTGCTTGTGATTTAAAAATATATATAATGTGTCTGCAGGGTTCAGCTCTGAGTCAGAAACGGGGCTGTAAAGTACAAATTAAGCTGCTAACAGAAGAAGTCACTAATTATCAACTAATTGGGATTGCTTATGAACTTCCTTTCATACCTTGAAATCTTTTGTGAATCCTCGTTCGCTTCGGAAGAAAAATTCTCAAGTGGCCTGAAATAGGAGAAATTTGGACAGGACCCCAACTGATCCATGCGGTCAGGATATAGAGGTCGAGTAACTGAGTGATTTTGATCACCACAGCATGTTAGAGCAACTCTGTGCTCTTGATCTGGCACTTGAGAAGGAATGGCTGTTTGGTGAAAGATGGCTAAATTCAGATCACAGGAAATACAGTCGCAGAATTAACCGGATTGCTTCTGCCATGTGCACGTGCCTGGGAAAGGTGGAGGAGCAGAATGCGGAAATGAGAGGAAGATGCTTGTCCCTGGATCAGTGGAGTATTTCATCAGCGATCTTCTGTGTTCTGAGCTTGGTCTTGCTTATAGAGAATGTGAGCAATGGCCCTTTTTAATAATTTATTTATTTTAAAAGGCATACAAAGGTGGCCTTGGTAGGTCGAAAGAATCCCATCGAGACTGGCATCCTGCTGCTATTATCAGGAATATCAGAAATCATGTTTTATAGAGAGTAATTCTTCCCTGATCCAGTTTTTCTGCTTCTGAAGGATTTGTGCTATAAAGTGACTTAATTACTCCTCTGGATCTTAGGGAAGTGGGGCTGGTGCTGGAGGGGACTCTTGGGCTTTTCAACATTTATTAATCCATGCGCTTTCACTTCCAGGTACCACAAAGAGAAGTGCCTCATTAAACAGACTGAATAACAAAGTTCCTCTACATTCTCAGCAGCCAGCACTCAAAGGTTCGCAGGTGGAACAGAAAGGTGCTAGAAATCAGTTTGTTTGGAGAATTGGGAGGCAGTAAATGGGGTATTTGAAGCTGATTTTAAACCGTGTCCCAGTCTCGCTGTAAATGGTTTTACTCAGGCTTCCACCACTGTGCGCGTAGCCTGTGCACTGGGGCACGAATATGGTTACGCACGTCGCAGTGCCAGATGTTGGGTGACGGTGTCTATAAACCAGCCTTTTCCCTCTGGAAAGTGGAAGGGCGGGGGGAGAGTAGGCAAATGGTAGCCAAACCATTTAGCCCGTGAGAAAATAATGCTTGGTAGTGATGGATCGGCGGTTTTAGCTGATTTCTTGGCAAAAGCATGGGCATGGCAGTTTAGAAGATCCTATAGCAGAAATACCTTGTTAAAAATAATCTTCCTTACGCTTGGTCTCTAGGAGGAACAGAAAAGAAGAGGAGCACATCTTTGAGTAGAATGAGTAGTAAACCCCAGTCCTCTCCAGAACTAGAAAAAGTGAAAAAGGAAGAAAAACCAGGTGGTTGTTTCATAAAGCTGAATATTTCTTTTTAAAGCCATTCATAGTAAAGTTTGGACAGGCTTACTTTTGCTAGTTTCCTTGATTCCTCAGTTTTGGGGGCTTTTTAATGGCTTTTTAGTGGTAAAAATAAAATTGTAAATGGTAAAGGTTAAATTTCTCCCTTTGGACAAAAAAGAAATCCCCTAAGAAGGACTTTGACTTTGTTAAATGGCACTGTAAGTAGATTGCAACACGTCTGTGTGCTTGAGAAAGAGATGTATTTGAAAGGTGGTAGGTTTAAGTGTTAAACACAGTAAAAACGTCACTGCTATTTTCACTTCTTAGTTAAATCTTACCTTTGCTTTTTAAGCTGTCTTTCATCATCCAGTCCAAAAGCAACTTCTCTGTTCCTGCTGCTGGCCTCAACTTGATGCATGCAAATGAAGGAGGAAACCTGCTCTCCCCTCAGTCTCTCTTGGTCTGTGGTCCCCACTTAGTTACAAATAACCTCTTTTCTAGGAACTCTTCCTAAAGCTGAAGACTGGCAACTCTTCTAACCTGTTTTTCCCTTTGAGTTCTGAAACTTTCCTTTTTAGCAGCTGTTGCCAACAGTGGAAATGATATTCTGCTTCAGAATCTTTCCTGTACGGGAGTATGATGGGTGCTGTCCGTGTGTATTTGTATGTGCAGATGATGCCTTTTGCTTTGACCTGCAAGTCTTCTGTCTGTTACGGCAGAGCAGCCTTTCCTGCAGCCTAAAGAGCTGGGTCAAAACCTTTTTGTAATTTGACTGGCTTCAGCATTCATCTCTGTTGTACGCAGACCAGTTTTTGCATGTTAAAATGATTAGCAAGCCAAGGACGGGGAGTGCAACGTAAGAGATGGCAGCGTTTAACCCCTCTGTGCTATTAGTTTGGATTTCCCTCTCCACGACTTAAGTATTTTTCTTCCGAAACTGTTATGATTTGCCACAATGCTCACAATCTCCCTTTGCTTTGTACTGCTTGTCTTTCTCATTATATGATTTCATGTTGGATCCTTTTTGATTTGTTCCCATCGTTTAGCTCGTCGCTCCCAGCTCAGTCCCCTGGACAGTAGCGTAATCAGTCGCCTCCTCGCCCCCACACAGGCCTCCTTAGCTAGGAGTAAAAGTGCTGCTACATTATCGGCTGATGGACAAGATCCCTCAGGTAACAGGAGGGCAGCAAAGCCTCCAAGTTTTATGCAGTTGCTCTTCAAGCAAGAATGTACACGATAGTTGCTAACTGTGCTACACTCCAGTATGAATCAGGCAGTTAACGTACGGTTATGTGTAATGCTACTTACCCAGTATTTCCTTTGGTCAGTAACAACCAATTCGTATGCAGTGTCGCGTGTTTACAAAACCATAGAATAATGCTGGCTTTTGAAATCCAGTGCCACTTTACTTGCTCTGCAGAGAACCAGATGCTGGTGTTCGATGTGGGTTTTGATCGTGGGGTTTTTTTTTTTTTGAACTGACAGAGATCTGCATTTGGGTGTACCCTCAAACGAATCTCTGACTCACTGGTCAGGGAATGACAGTGCTAGGAAGTGAAAGGGAAAAAACCCAAGCAAACACATCATTTCAAAGGAGGCTGAAAGGAGTAAGTGCAAAGCCTACATTTCTCTAGGGGAAGAAACTCTGGTAGGAGCATGACAACAGGGTTGTCTTGGTATGACATGCAGGGAGCCCTGAGCTGGCTTCGCTCAGGCTGGCTGTAGTAGAGGCATACTGGAAGGGGAAGATACTGTAGGAAAAAACCCTGGCTGGCTTACGCAGTTTCATACTGGTCCAGCTGAGCTGATGAGCCCACAGTGTGGCTCGGCTTAGTACTAGAGCAGAATCTGCATCGTGAGCAAACCCTGGGTGCACCCCACATGGCTTAGAATTGTTAGTGGCTATGGGAGCGCCCCAGTAAATGCATATCTGGAACCAATGTGGAGTCTTCTCTTCTCTCTTTACCTTACAACTTGCATTCGCAGTTTTGCTTGTTTCTTCTTAAGTATGTTCTTCCAGCTTTATTTTGTATTTTATGCCACTTGGTCCTTGTTGGTGATGGTGACATTTCCACACTGCTCCCCTTGTGTTACCATCAGTTTTTACTTTTTTGGTTTGTAGTCAGTGGTCAATTTTTGCACACCTATGTGCCTCCTTTACCATGAATATTTTGGGTCATGTCATGTGGGGAAATACCATCTTTTCACTGTTACTGACAGCATGTGACTTGCTCACTATTGCTGAATTAAAGGTAACTTTTACGTTTTTATCAGTTTACTTAAAGGTACTTTCTTCATGTCAGTGGAAATGTACCTGTGCTTTAGCAAAAACTGTGCTCAAACAGAATGCAGTTCACCTTGCACAAATGCTGTAAATATAAAAATAAAATGTGTTTTCCATGAAGTTACAAATGAAGCGCTGGCATCTGTCACGGTTTATTCAGACTAGAAAAATCCAGTATCTAGTTTCAGAAGTAGATTTTTACATGTGTCTGCTTAGCCATTTTACATGTGTATGCTTACGTTCATGAATAAAATAATTAGAAGATACCATTTCTTTCAATATCTTACGTGTGGAGGGATTGACACTTCAGATAGGAAAGGTGTTTTAGTTTAACAGTTTACCTTTTTCCCCTTGATAGGTTTCTTTTACACCACCTATTTTGGTTTGTTGATGTGGATAAAAGGCACACATATATAGCAATAAAGGGATCGGAGAGGGAAAGTAGAATAAAATAATGTTGCACAAATGCTTATTTCACAAAAACAGTTTGTAAAGTAATGCTCAGATTCCTAATGTCATGCTGCTTTATAAGTACTCTTTAAAAGTGGAGTATTTCCTCCTTGATTATGGGGAAACATGCTTAAAATTTGAACCTGTTGAAGAACTTGCAAAGAAAGATGCTAAGCTATTAAAACCAAAGTATTTGTGCTTAGATACAGGTTGACTAAAATTGAAGTAACAGCAGTGTATTGCACGTTTAGGTGGTCTTTGGAAAAGCATTTTATTTTTATCTACTCTAGGCTACTGCTTTCAAAATGGTTTTATTCTTGGTGCTGTTGCTTCCAGTGTACTAATTGTGTGGTGGTGGTGTCTGTGTCTGTGACCCATTGCAGTCTGCACTGCCTGTGGTGTTTCTCTGTGCGGTTTCTAACACACACAATCTTTCTTTCTCTCTTTCTCCCCCTTCTTTTTCTCCTGTTCTTATGCTGTGCACTTGGTTCTTGTTTTGTCTTGTCAAATTCCTAACTTTTATAGAATCTCACCTCTGTCCTCGTTCAGCTTCAGCCAGTTCCATCAATTCCCCAGTCCCAGCTCCTAAAGTGCCCGTGCGCAGTCGTAGCATCGACAGATTGAAGTCCTCTGTATCCTCATCTGACGCAAGTTCACCGGATTCAACCCAGGTCTGTTGAAAATCCACAGAAATTAGGTTTGTATTAATCTGAGTGTTTGGAACAGCTCAGGATGAGATCTTGTTTCAACAGTTTGCTTGCTTGTTGAAAAGTTCAATAGCATTTGCTTAAAAAACACATTATTGAAATCAGATTTTAATTCTGTAGTCCTTGATCTCTCTGGTACTGCAAAGGCATGCTGTTTGCTGGTTAGGGTTCCCAAAGTTTAGGTAACATACTGACTGGGTCTGTGCTTTGGAACAGAATGGAAGCGTCAAGTACATCTTGTCGAGAAGTTTTGTGTGTGTTGTGGTAGTGGCTCCCTGTCTGAAATGTATTCTAGAGAGTGAGCATTGTTTTGGTTTTATGTATCTTAGAAATCAGAGATGGAAAAAGCATCCCCGGGTTCTGGGTTACGACGCCCTCCCTCACCCTCTGTGTCTGCCCGTAGAAGATCCCCTTCTCCTGCTAACTTGGTGAAGCGTCCTCCATCACCTTCTACACTCCGGTACGCGTCCAGGTTAAACATCTCCTTTTATTCAGAACAAAGCGAGGGATGCTTCCTGCCTCAGACAGCTGTGCTCTTAGCATCTGGATGACCTACACTAGGCCGCGTTTATGCACATAAGGACTTCGCTTTTGGTGCGATTTCTTTTCCGCAGTAGGGATGCAGCTCTTACTCGAGCCTTTGTGTCTTTTGTGCAGAAGGAATGCCCCCTGGTTTTGTGTACGGCCTGCACTGAAACCAACAGCAAGCATGCAAGCTTCTGGATAAGCTGGTCTGCCTGTATTAGTGTAGGAAGTTTCTTGGATTGGAATCACAGGGTTCATCCTTAACGTGGAGTAAATGAAGGTCTGGGCTACCAGACCTGTTTTGACATTAGCCTACAAGTAGTGACTCCAGGTGCCCGGGGTATTTTGGAATCCTGTGTTTGAGTTTTATGGGGAAGGCACCAGTAGTTTGTGTGTCATTTATTTTTAAAAGTGAGGTGCATAATGCAAACTAACCAGAATAGCCTGCTGTCCTCAGTCACTTGTCTGAGGTTTTCACCATTAGCCCTAAAAAATATTCTTTATTTTAACAGACAGAAGACTCGCCCACCTTCACCAAGCGTGTCAAAACAAAGGCCACCATCTCCTACTCCAGTCTCTAAACCAGCGCCCATCCAGCGTCCAGCTCTGACGCCGGGTGTTATAAATATTACCAAAAAGAAAACTGAAGCAGAGAGCAAACCAAAGGAAAAGAGCACAGAAGTAACAGGACAAGAGCAGGGTGCTTCCCCAGCCTTGGACAGGGATGCCGTAGCAGCTAGCACAAAGACCAAAGAAGGTGAGTGTTTCTCAGTGACCAATGCGTTACTCAAGGCGTCTCCAGCGTGTGCAAATGACTCGTTTGTGAGGCAGACCACTGCAGGGTAGGATGCTTTGTGGTGGAAGCTGTTCGTTGCTGACTGTTCATACAGTCATTTTACGTGATGTGACTTGCGGGTGTGGATTTTAGTGCAGTAGTTGTTTTATTTCACTTGGAGATTTAAGTTAGGAACTGTCAATATTATTGCTTGTACTCTGATTTTAAGAAAGCAGAAATCCTGTTTGCCTCTTGGACTTCAGCCACACTACCTGAGGGATCTAATAGCTCAGGTTTGCAGAGTCAGTAGTTAAACTATGCAAAGGTATTTCAGCCCAGTTGGTAGTTCATAAAATTGTTTGTGTAGAGACCTGCTTGGAGGAAGAAATCAGCTTTTGGTGCATCACAGCTGAGCACCCTTTTTCGCAAAGCTGGAAGGCTGCCTCGGCCTTGGTTCCAGTGAATGTGTAGTCACTGCTGCCACAGGAAGAAGGGGCAGTGCACGGGTCATACTGAGAAAGGGTCTTGGTAGGTTAAGGAGGGCCATACACTGTATAAGCAGTTAGTCTGCTAGTCCACTGCACCAAGTATGTACAGCTCTGTCCCTCTTACCGGAAAAACACTGTCTGCCATCTCCAGAGTAGAATCTAGGAGAGCCTTCTGATGAGGTCTGTCAGGCAATTCTCTGTGGAGAAGGACTTAGGGGAGCCTTAACAGGAAAAAGAGGGATCTGTGGAGTTCAAACCACAGCCAGTGGACAGTACTGGGGGTGAAAATCCTTCAGACGTGTGAGGTAAGTGGGAACATGCTTGCTGCACGTTCCTGCTGCGTATTCCTCAGCTGCTTCAGTTGCCTGTGATTTCGCAGACTCTTATGGACACTACCCACTGTTGGGTGTGAAACGGTGTCAGTCAGCTGAAGAACTCGTTTACAGCACAGTCCTTAGAGCACGTGTGCCTCTAGAAGAAAGCGTGGGTGTGTCAGTCACAGGTCTGTATGCAGTTGCACATCTGTCTCAGGGGTCACATCATTCATCTTAGCAGTCAGGATGTCCACCCCTTGGTGTGCTGCATTACTGTCATAAATGTCTTGCATGCCTCAAGGCAGGCATAATCAATTGTGATCAATGTGATCAGCTGGCTGAAGCCTCCATAACAACCACATTTCTGCATCTTGTGGTTGCTGTGTGTTGTTCCTTGGATGTCTCCTTTCCACGCTGACTTCTGGAACTGTATTAACCCCGTTCATCTGTTTCCATTTTATTTTATGGCTAATCTACGAGCTAGGCATATTTGTAGTGATTCATTCTGGGGTTGGGTGAAGCTCTTTTTCTTTGACACACACAAGATAAAGAAATAGTGGGCATGTTCTTCAACATACAGATGATTTCATTGCTCTTCAGATGTTTTGGTACACTGCAGTATTGCTAAGTAAGGCAAACTCTTTTGTTCTTAAAAAGTTGCTTTCAGTTTTCAAGGCAATTTCCATTTTACCTGTCTGCATAGGCAGTTCACCCTGTGGGTTGGTGCAGCGCCACGTTGCAGACAGCTTCTGAGGTCGGAGCACACCAGTGAATGGTATGTGGCAAATCAGTCTCTAGGTCTCATAGGTTGAACCTAATTTCAGCTTTCTGCACTTGTGTCTTCATACCATCTCTTCTCCCTCAAACTAAATTTGATTGCACATTGCTGGCAACAGCACTGAAGTTTTTGTCTTGTTTTTTGCGTCTTCCTACTAAAACCTGCTGTTCTGCAGTAGAACGCTGTTTGTCAGTGACGTGGAGCACTTGTCAGTTCTGGCAGCAGCCTTTCGCGGCTTCTCCGGGAGTTAAAGGCTCGTTTCAACTCAAAGCATAAGAAGTGCTCCTTCATGAGCTCTCCCCTTATGTGTGATGATAGGTAATAAACTGTCATGGAGCCTCGCTTTTTTTGTATCTGAGTAGTGAAGACTTTGGATTAATTGTGGATAAATGACTTGCCTTGAAATGTGTTGGAATCTTCCCTCCATCCAGATAATGGTACAATACAAGCACATTTGTGTTCTTCCAGTCAAACTGGAAAATAACACTCCGGTAGGGAACTGACACCAGCTTCTCCTCACACAGCAGATCTGTGTAAGTCTTTTCCATCTTCTAAAACAAATCATAGACTAATAGGAGAAAAGGAGGAGGTTCAACTTCCACATCATCACAAGTTGCAGATGATCTGCATCCTTCCCTCTCAGTTGACAACCGTATTGCTGAAGAGGAATGCCTAAAGGCAGCATGTATTCTGAATGGCTGCGAGTGTCTTGGTAGTGCCTCTTTGCTCTTAAACCGCAGCTAGAATTACGTGGGGCTAACAGGTCAGCTGTCAGTTCTATAGACGTGTTTTACAAGGGCCCTGAGACATTCTCTTACCTGTTTCACTCTCTGTCCCCTTCCATCATGGAAAGGTCCTTGGAGAAGACAACTGTTCTTATCAGGAATGACTGTGAGAGTACAAGGAAAATGGAGCCGAGTATAAAATGTTGGAGGAATCTTCTTAGGGAATGTTAGCAGTCACGTTGGGAAGTCCCATGTCCTGCCCTGTGGAAAGACTGTGCAAGGGCTGCATGGATGTTGAAGTTACCATGTGGAAAACCTCAGGAAAGCTTCAAAAGTCAAAATGCAGTGGGAAGGTCCTCATAGGCTTGAGGTCTCCTACCCTTTCTTTTGGTTTTTGCCCCCTGTTCTTTTCCGTATCTGCTGTGTTCTAAATCGTGACTCATGTTCGTCCATCATTTCCAGTACCAGATACTCATGTTTCAAGCTGTTGTTACCATGCTATAACCCTATAACCTAAAAGCTGAAAACCTTTAGCCTTCTTGCTGAGAATTAAGTTGTCTTACTTAGGTTCAGTTTTGAGGGGGGGGAAATAGGTTAAACCTGACATTAAATGTCAACCAGTTTTGATTGAAGGGATCATTGCTTGGAACTCAGGAGAAGAAGGAGAGTTTCTGAGCTCTGGAAGAAGGGACAGGTACCTGGGAAGAATACAAGGATGTTGTGAGGTTTTGCAGGGAGAAAATTAGAAGCGCCAAAGCCCAACTAGAACTTAATCTGGCCTCTGCCACAGAAGTCAGTAAAAAAATTTCCGTAAGTAATTTAACAACAAAAGGGGGGCTAAGGAGAAGCTTCATCCTTTACTGGATGGGGACAGGCTGGATCCATGGGCTGAGGCCACTGTGAGAGGGTCAACAAGACCAAGTACCGGGTCCTGACTTGGACCACAACAACCCCCTGCAGTACTCCAGGCCTGGGGATGAGGGGCTGGAAAGCTGCCTGGCAGGAAAGGACCCAGGGGTGCTGGTCAACAGTGGCTGGATATGAGCTGGGATGTGCCCAGGTGGCCAAGGAGGCCAGTGGCAACCTGGCTAGCATCAGGAACAGTGTGGCCAACAGGACCAGGGCAGGGATTTCTCCCCTGTATTGTGCACTGATGAAGCTGCCCCTC